AGCTTTCAAGTTGTGCAGAACTGGATAAGCAAAGAAAAGAAAAAATAAACCTACATCATTTATTTTACTTCACCTAGTAGCTAAAAGAAAAAGGTGCTGGAAAGGGGGAAAACAACACTTCAGAACTGAGAAACTAAAAGGAAGGTTCTGAAAAATTAAAAAGATAAAGTTCCTCTTTGATGTTTAAAACAAATTTCAAATTTTCAAACTATTTTGTGTGTGTTCTCTCCAGTTCTGCAGAGAGTCTGGGGCATGGCTTTGCTCCCCCCTGGCTCCAGCAGAGGATCAGGGCGGGTTTGGGTCCCAGCTCGTGCAGGGAGCTGAGGGAGCCTTGCCTAGGGAGGGATGTAAAGCAGAGGCTGAACCCCAGAGCTCACCCTCCTCTGCAGTCCCACAGCCCAGGAGAGGCAGGGATGTGAGCAGGAAATATCTGTGAGCAAGGGTCAATCCCCTGCTTGTCCCCTTCCCTCATCCCTGCACAAGGAATGTTTCATTAAACCCCCGGGCTTGCCAGCCCTCCGATGCCGTGGTTTTAAATATCCGTCTTTCAGATGCTGAGATTTACTTTTTGACAGGCATGAGAGAGACACCTATAAACGCTGGGCTGGAGAGGAGTCATCACATTAGTGCTCAAAGAAAGGGCTGCAATCTGCACCACTTGCTTATAATTCAAAGCTTTCCTAATCCTACAGCGTGGGCAGATCAGGATCTCTGTTCTGTGCTGGCCAGCCCCAGCAATGAGGTGTGTGAGGACAGGTGCTGGTGCCATCCTGCTCCTCAGCCTCCTCCTGTGGCCCCAGCCTGACGCTCCAAGGGGATGATGCAGCTCCCCAGCAGCAGCATGAGGTGCTGCTACTAAACGGGCTTGCAGGGACAGCTCCTGCAGGGGGTTTGGCCAAGGAGAACGTGGGGACCACCGTGTCAGCAGCTCCCTCCCTGCCAGCCAGGCCACCAGGCAGTGATGCTAAGGGCATCATCAGGTGCATTGCAACAGGGGTGCTGGGCTTTGCTAATTGTGTTGCAAGGAGTGGAGCGAAGCTTTTAGATTTCAGAGCCAACGTGTGGCATCTTTATTAATGTGCCTACTTGAGTTCCCTGGGACGCGATGTTTTCTCCTTACCCTGGCCATCCATCTGAACTGATAATAGGACTATTAATCCATTTTGTTGACAGCACGCACAGACCTCCAGTGAGGCAGGAGATGGGGAAGAGGTGGGGCTGCATTTGATGCTTGTTTTGTTCCAAAGGGATCGTGTCACAGCCTCTGCCAAAGCGAGCATTGGCTGGGGTGAGCAGATGGAGTGTTAGCAAAGGTTACAGGTGCTCTGCTGCTGGCCAGCTGTGGCCTGGCTTCTCCTTGGTCAACTGGAGAGCATCCTGCAGAAAAGCACTGAGAGATGAGATGTTCTACAGAAGCCAAACCTGGGGACCTTGTGCTCCAAGGCACATCATACTGTTCAGGTTCTACACTCAGCAACCTGGTATCAGTTATTCACCCACTTCTGATCCTCCTTTATATCTGTACAGAAGTGAAGTTTCTCTGATTTCAGGGCATTCTTAGCCCTGCCTGGCTATGAGGTGACTGGCACAGCATCCATTGTGTCAGTGCTTTCCTTCATAGCAGCAGAAATACATATATGCAATAAATTTAAAAAATGCAGGTCTTTTATAGGTGTGATCCATAAAGAAATACTTAGTGGAAAAAGAGCTGGGAAATGAGGTGCATCCCAGCCCAGCTCTTGCTCCTCTGCACGGCCCCTGCCAGTAGCTGATCCCAGGTGCCTTTATATTCAGCCTGATCCTGTCTGGTTTTAAATATCTCAAGCCACAGGACTTTTTCCCTCCAGGGAACCACGTCGCAGCCTCATAATTTTCGCTGTCAGCAGAGGGGATTTTTCCCCTGTGACATTCAACCTAAATGCTCCATTTCTTCATTTCCTGTCATCCCTTCTGGTGATGCCCCTTGTACTCTATTAAATAATTCCTTCCCTCCCTCTCTATTTACTCCAACCAGATCTGTAAGGCTCTTAGTTTGTCTCCCCATGGACAGCTCTTAACCGAGCAATATATATATTTAAGCCTTTTAATCTTCTTTCAGAAATCAGTCTCTCCGTGCCTTTGATCATTTGTGTGGCTTCCCTCTGAACTGCCGCCAACACGTCTGTGCCGAGGGACCCCCGTGCTCGGGCTGCAGCCACACCTGAGCCCCCAGCCCCTCCCTGCCGCCCCCGGCCGAGCGGGACCCCGGCGCCGGGGGCTGGTCCGTCCCTGCTGCCCTATGCACAGCAGCTCCTGCGTCCCCCTTGCTGGCCCCTGGCCCCGGGCCTTTCTCTGGGGCGTTGCTCTGGATCTTGGCGTGGCTTGGCTCGGCTCAGCCATCGCTGCCTGTCCTGCTGTCGCTCCGACTCGCCTTTGCGTCCCAGCCGCGCCCGCTCACATCTGTCCAAGGCGCAGCTCCTTTCGCTGCTTCCTGCCCATATTTCTAATCTCACTAGGCCCTTTTTGTGTTAATTTTCTATGCTTGCTGGAGCTCACAGCACCTCCCAGTATAGCATCATCTGCCAAATTCATTAATGTGTAGTTTACTCCCTCTTTCCAGGTCATTAATGAGGGTATTAAATGAGAGCAGCCCTAACCTAGATCCCTGCAGTACCCCATAAACACCTCCTCCTGCTTCTAATTACCCTTTGTTTATGATCCCTCAGCCAGGTTTTCAATCCACATGGCACAGTTCAAGTCATCAGAATTAATTTTTTCACGGAAGACTTCGACAGGGCTTTGTCCCTTCGTGCCATCCCCACCTGCCACCCCTGCATGTCCCACTGCCGCTCCCCCGTGGGTCACAGTGACCTACGCTGCTGCTTTCCGGAGAGAAACACCTGGCAAAGGCTTTTTCCTCTGCCGGTTTTGTCCCACTGGCAGCAGAAATGGAGGAGCCCTGCGGGAAGGAGGGGGCTCCCCGCGGCTGTCCTGGGTACCGTCCCTCCCTGGGCGGGTGGCAGCTCATGGGGCGGTGTCCGCGGGGGGATGCTGTGCCGGGGGATGCAGTCAGTGGATGGATGCTGGCCGGGACAGGTGCCGCTGGTGTCCCCGGGCAGACTCTGCGGCGCGGGATGGGATCACGGGGACGGTGTCTCTGAACGGATGTTGTCCCGGGCACGGTGAGCGGGGATGGATGCTGTCCCTGGCGACAGCTGTTATCCCTCCCAGCCGTGTAGGGCCCGTGGCTGGGCCGTGCCGTGCCCTAGAGGAGCCCCGCCCGGGCCGGGTGTCCCCGTGTCTGGGTGTTCCCGTGTCCCGATGTCCCCGTGTCCCGATGTCCCCGTGTCTGGGTGTCCCCGTGTCCCGATGTCCGTGTGTCCCGGTGCTCCCGTGTGCCGGTGCCGCCCCCCGCGCGGCCGCGAGATGGCGCCCTTGTGCCTGGGAAGGCGCGGCGGGGCCCGACGGCGCGGCCGGGCCGGGCCGGGCCGGGCGGGACCGGGCGGGGAGGGCTGGACCGGGACAGGCGGGACCGGACGGGGAGGGCTGGGCTGGACCGGGCCAGATCGGGCCGGGCCGGTGCGGGGAGGACCGGACCGGGCCACACCGGGCCGTGCCCGCGGGACGCGGCACCGCCGAGACATCGCTTCCCCATGCCCAGCACGCAATGGGACCTGTGCCGCGGCAGATGCAGCGGACCCGCGCCCCGCTTTCCCCGCCGCCGCCGGACCGCTACCGACCGGCGGGCTGCGGCGGGGTTTGCCGACAGGCCAG